ATATCGTTGTTGGGGAGTGAATATTACGCATGTGTGGCACTTTAACACCAAATCGGATAAAACATATATACAGGAGCTATAGCTATATATTAACCAATTTACACCAAATTTTAAATACTGGTTTCTAGGATGAATTCCGTCGGATGTGTCAAAATTCAGGTCATTTGGACTGATATTGTCCATTTGGTGCACAATGAACTCGAAATTGGTTGAAGATATGTGTAAGGCTATATCCAAATCTGAACCGATCTAGATACAAATTGACAGAGGTATTTCTCGACTGTATCTGATATCCGGTACAAAATATAATTTTTTTTGAGTGCATATTACGCATATGAGTAACGGGTTTTATGTCAAATGGGATGGAACATATATATGGGAGCTTAAGCTATATCTGAACCGATTTTCTTTATTTGATGTACTTGCTACTAGACTGAATTCGGTCGGATGTGCCACGGGTGATTTGGACTGATATTGTCCACTTCGTGCACAATGAACCCGAAATCGGTTGAAGATAAATATGGAGCTATATCTTAATTTGAACTGTTTGTAACCAATTTCAATACGGTTCGTCCTTGGCCTGCATATTGCATACATGGACAGACAGACGGACTGAAAGCATAATTCGACTCAGAAAGTGATTCTATGAAGATCCTATGGGTCTATCTCGCTTTCTTTTCTATGTTACAAACAAACGCGCAAAGGCATAATACCCTTACCACTATGTGATGTAGGGTATAAAAATCGTCAAAAATGCCGCTAAAATGATAACTTCTGTCATGGGCTGTAGTACCGATTCCGAACTTTAAATACCAAATTTGACACAATTCCGTTTAATAATGTCGCTAATATCACCAAAACACCAAATAATGGGAGGTATCGTTATATGGGGGACCTGTATATTTTATTTTTTGTTATAGGTTGTAGCACCCATTCAAATCTTCAACTACGAAGTTAAAAACAAATCCGGTTACAATATCGCTACAATTATGAAAATACCGAATATCGGGAGGTATCGTTGTATCAGGGCTATACCAATTAGTGGGTCTGAAACGAACATTTTTTGCAAGGAGAGAACAGACCTACCGAAAACCCCAATTGTCATGTTTCATCACATTTGGTTGAAAATTTTGGCAAAAACTTTCAAAATACCGGGAGGTACCGTTATAATGAGGGCTATTCCTATTAGTGGACCTGAATCGAACATTTATTTTGCAAGGAGAGTGTGGAACACGTTTTATTTAAAAACGTTTTTTTATTTATCAAATGTTGGAGCTATTTAATCTCAATGGTATCCAGATTTCCGAAAAAGTGCAATAGAGTGCGCTCATGGAAAGCAAAAAAAAAAAAAAGTCGAGCAAACTTAATAATTCGATGTCGCCCGAATAGGAGTGAGCATATTTTCTTCGTTTTTTGAGTGGGAGCAAAATTTGTTAAAAATCGAGCGGATTCGACTCTTGCTGAGCACTCTTTTGTCATAGAGTGGTTTTATATCTATGTATGTCTCTCCTCCCATTTTCTCTGCCTCTTCACCCAGTTAGTGTTTGAAGATTATTTCATGCAAATGTTGACCGCAACTGCGTCCTAAATGGTCCATCCGTTCAATCCAATTTTAGGATACTCTTTCCAACATTTCGGTCGGTGTATCAATTAAAGCGGGCTCGTCTGTATAGACATGGGCGTTAACTGTGTGGCAGCGTCTTGTTGAAACCGTATGTCATGCAAGTGCAGCTCTTTGTAACTGGTAATAGAGATTCTTGAGATTCGATGGGTAAATCGGTGAGAAGATTCCCAAAATAGATATAAATCTTTTCAGAGAATTGTGTAGATCCTTTCATATATGATGTGTATTTTTTAATGGGAGATTAGTAAATGTTTCAGATAAATTCTTATTAAGAGTCTGTATATATCCCTAAAAGAGATTACTGCATCTCTGAAGATTTTTATGTAGACCATACGAACATAATTTCATAGAAAATATGTTACAAATTTTAAAATCCTTATTCACTCTGCACACTGGAAGTACCCCTAATCGCTGTTTTTTATTAATCGCAGGTATTTTCAAACTCCATATTTGTTGTGCATTAAAATATTCAAGTTATATGTAGTTTGCTTTTATGCATATCTCAATTGAATATCTTTCATTCGATTGTTTAGATAACGCATACGTTTATAAAAAGCGCGTGCCTTTCTTATCCACCATTTGTTCAAACTACCGAACTACTAAATCGCACATTTATTTCCCCATTACTGAGCGTACGTTAAAAGATGCCCGGATAGCAATGATACTGGAGGCCTGGCCATAAGGTGTTTTTTCGTGGTTGAATGCATTTGGTTAATAAAAATCGATTTGAAATTGATACGACATTTTGGTCATATTTTATAAACACGTCATTGGCCTTATGTCTTAGACCATTTGTGGCGATGGCCATTAGTGGTTGTAGTTTAAGTTTTTGTAGAGGATTTTTAAATGGAATATCTACCCAAATATAAGTTTGGCGGTGAAAGTTTGAAATATTCAAATAAATAAAAAATATTTGCATATTTCCTATGTTTAAGGATTAATATTAAGTGGACTAGTTAGGGAGGATTTTTAGATAATTATTTTTTATACCCTACACCACAAGGTGGTCAGGGTATTATGTCTTTGTGCATTTGTTTGTAACAGGCAAAAGGAAACGAGATAGACCCATAGTTCCTTTTGATGATCTGCATAGAATAACTTTCTGTGTCGATTTATGCATGTCAGTCCGTGTATTCTTGAGAATAAAATGCATGTCGCATTTATTATCCGATTGAGATGAAATTTTGAAAACAATATTTGTTTGGCCCAAGGACCAAACCCTTATTGAAATTGGTGATAATCGGATCAAAATTAGATATCTTCAACCGATTTCGGGTTAATTGTGCAATGATTGGCCAATATCAGTCCATATGACCGGAATTTTGGTATATCCGACCGAATTCAGTCTATAAGCAAGTACATCAAATTTTGTGAAAATCGGTTCAGCTCCCATATATATGTTTCATCCGATTTGGGGTTTTAAGTCCCTCACATGCACAATATCCACTCCAGAAGAATGATATTTGGTACCGGACATCAGATACTGCTCAAAAATACATCTGCCAAATTTTATCGAGATCGGTTCAGATTTGGATATAGCTCACATATATTTCTTTAACCAATTTCGTGTTAATTGTGCACTAGTCCAAATGACTTCAATTTCAAGTACATCAAATTTGGAGAAAATAGGTTCATATATAGCTATAGCTCCCATATACAGGGTGAGATAAAAAAACTGCAAAAAAGTCAAAAATCATAATGTTTTACATTTTTTTTTTAATTTTATTGAATTGAATATTGAAAGTCGAAAATAGCATCAAATTTTATAATAGGTTTAGATTTGTTCGAATTGGTCACCTTTGGCAATTATGGCCTTCAAACGGCCAATGAAACCGTCACACGCTGTCCGAATGTCGCTCTGCGGTATCTTGGTCCATTCTAGGCGAAACGCTTACTTGAGGTGATCGACACTTTGGTATTTTTTAGTGCCAACCTTGCTTTCCAAAATACTCCACACACAATAGTCCAACGGATTGGTATGTGCACATTGGAAGGTGCACATTTTCAGCTGACCTCTTTGGAAAGTAAACACGATAATTTTGTTTGTTTACAAACTGCTGGACAACGAATGTTTTCTCATCGGAGAAAACCAAATTCGGCAGTTCACCACTTTCGGCCAAGCGAAGCAATTCTTTGCGGTGTAATTTCTTGCACTTTTTGGAATTTCAAGAGCTTTACCCCGAGATCATTTTTCAATATTTGCCGAATGGAATATTGCGATATGTTAAGCTCACGAGCCATTTTTCGGAAACTGCAAGGCGGTTTTCGATCAAGTCGCTTCTTTACTTTTTGAACCATTTCTGCTGATATTGCTATTTTCTTCCGTCCTCTTCCTTGACGTCGGGCTACGCTACCAGTATCACGGTAACGAGCAATGGTACGAGACACAAAAGATTTATTCACATTTAAATGCTGGAGTGCTCTAACGGTAGCCAATTGTAGTTCCCAGCCAAATATAAAGAAATCACACTATCACGCTTGGATTCCATAACGAATAACTTTTTTTCCGGAAAATTCTCACCAAAATGCTTTTGTACGCTTGTAAACAATATAATGAGTTGTCACTGGAATAATTTGAACAGCTGTCGGACAAGTGGCTTAGAGGTGACAGCAGTCTGAAGTTGGTTGCATTTTTTTCATCTCACCTGGTATATGTTTCAGCCGATTAGGTATTTAAGTACCTCACATTCGTAATATGCTTCCGACAATAATGATATTTGGTACCAGATATCTTATAGAGTTCGGAAATGGCTTTGCCAAAATTTATCGAGATCGGCTAAGATTTGAATATAGCTCCCATATATATGCTTAATACGATTTCAGATTTATTGTGCAAACAATGGCTAATATCAGCCCAAATTGAGTGAATTTAAAAATCGATTCAGAATTAGATATGCCTCCCTCCATAATAATAGGTGATATGATCTACTTCAAATAAATGCTTTTGTTACGGAAGCTCTACTAAGTAAGCTTATCGTATAGTCGGCCCTGCCCGAGTTTTGACTTTTCCTGACTGGTTTAAATTTGTTAACAAATTTTACATTTTTATACCCTACACCATTCTATAACTAACTCCTCGAAATATACATAATAGACCCTTACAAAATATATATATTTAGCGTATGACAAAAAATTTCGTATACAGGTCCACGTCTTCGTATAGTCCCCATATAACGGTTTTCATTTAAGTGCTAGTTTTCGGATTTTTTTTTTTTTTGAAAAATTTCAATTTCCTTCGAAATGGTGGAGGGTATTGCTTTTTTTCTTGTTATTAATTTTTTATCTGTTATTAATTAAATCATTATAGATTCTTCATGACTTATTATTTATTTATTTACTTACTAATTTTTTTATTAATTTATTTTTTATATTTTAGGTCCCAAATATGTTCCCAGCTGCTGTTGGTTGTCATGTTCGCCCTGGTACTTGTAATGGGAAGGCCACAACTGAATCGCTATCAACACATTGCTGTCATAGAAAATGATGCCTGGGAACAGACTCTGCCGGGAGAGCTTAGAAATCCCTTCTATAAGACACCAAGAGTACGAAATGCATTGGCCAAATCATCATGGTTTGGACCAGGCGAAACACCGGTAACCCATACAATTTTTACTTTCAAGCAGTGAAATTATCTGCCTAATAAAAAACAATTCTCATTCCAGGTTCTCGATAGAGATGCTGAGAAAATTTCCCGACGAGAAATCTACAATGTTTTAAGTCATGCTGGTCTCATAGAAAGAAGAAAGTTTTTCTAAATTCCTACCACCTACAAAGCAACGAGGAAAAGAAGCCATTAGAAATATAACTTTTTGTTAATTTGTGAATAATTTTTTTACGTTTTAAAAGAAGCATTTTTGTTAATTTGTGAATACTTTTTGTTTATGTTTAAAAAATAGCATTTATTTAGGAAAAACTTGATTGTTTGATTTTCAATATTTTCTTAATTGTTTTATATTCATTTCACTTTGTTGTCGTGCATACAACATTTAAACAGCATATAAGGCAAATTGCAAATGTACATAGATCAGATTGTATGCATTGCAATAAATCATTTAAAAAATTGTATGCTTATTTTTATAAAAAAATATTAAAAAAAACTTGTGAAATAAATTCTCAAAAAACAATATAGAGTCATTAGCATTTAAGACAATTAAAAAAAAATTAAAAACCTAGTTTCATTTCAAATCTATAACAACATTCGGTTGGAGGGTATGTGTTTGATACATAACTCTAAAACTCTATGGCTACCATTTGTTTTGCTACATATCTTAACTTAGATTCCAAATCATCGTTGGCGGGTAATAACAGCGAATCGTCACGAGTGCCACCTTTTGATTTCTGTTTACGTTTCAGCTCATCGGTTTTCCGCAGTAGATTTTTGCGTAAATTATTAGCATTGGTGGCAGGTGATTTCGCATTGCCATTTGTCATTTTTACATCACCATCTGCATCGTCGCCATCATCGTCATCCGAGTGGTTACTACTGCCAAAGCCATTTGTTACACCATCACCATTTAATCGTGTCGTCAAGGCATCATTTATGTCGCCGTTAGTATCATCATCGTCGGTGGAATTCTTATTAACCTTGCCGTTGGCAACGGGCTTAACCATTGATTTGACAAATTCTTCACACATCAGACTCATCGGTGGCATGGTGTGAGTGGACATCTCAATGAGCTGCAAAAGATAGATAGAGACACCATATGAGAATTTTAATTAGATTTTTTCTGCTTTAAAATTTTGTAAGAAATAAATTGAATATTTGTTGTTAGAAGTTCATAATCTTGATAAAAAAACGTTCTGGAGGTTAAATTGAATGCCATCGAATAAAATTTTGATTATTTAATTTTGAATGAAGATAACTCCATGATTTTGCGAACCGCAATGCATCATTGATCACAAATAAAATGATCACTGATCTCAGATCAAGGAATTATTGAGCTCAGATAAACCGATAACTGACCACAGATCAAATGATCATTGATCATAGATCAAAAGCTCATTGGTCATAGATCAAATTATCATTGATCATAGAAGAAATGATCATTGATCATAGAAGAAATGATCATTGATCATAGACGAAATGATCATTGACCTCAGGTCGATGATCGATGACAGTTCAAGGGATCATCGATCTAAGATCATCTGATCTGGGATCATAGATACCAGATCAAAGGATCTCCATCTGAGGTCAATTGATCATTTACCTCAGTTCAATGGATCATTCATCACAGATCATCTATCACAGACCTAGGGATCAGATCAATCGATAACTGATCACAGATCAAACGATCAATGAACACAGATCAACCGATCACTGATCACAGAACAAATGATAATTGATCATAGATAAAAAGATCATTAATCTGAAATAGACGGACCATCGATTATTGGCCTCAAATCAATGGATCATTGACATCAGATCAATGGATCATTGACACTAGATCAGTGGATGAAAAATAAAGAGAAAAATAAAATAAATAAGTCAATGATGAAAAATAATTTTGTGGAATATTTTGAATATTTTAACCGATCCCGGTAAGGGACGTTTTCAATTTGTATGCAATATGGAGGGTATATTAAGTTGGTAACACCTCAAAAAATACATTTTAGGCCCCACAAAGTACATATATTCTTGATCAACATAAAATTCTATGTCGATTTAGCGACGTCCCTCCGTCTGTCCGCCTATGGAAATCACTCTAGCTTCCGAACGGATTGAGTTAGATTGATAAAATTGTACTGAAATGTATATTATGTCTGCAGGACTTTTGGTATTGAAAATGGGCCATGTAGGTCAACGTTTTAGTATAGCCCCCATATAACGGTACCACCCGATATTCGGTATTTGGATGATTTCGCGACATTATTCACCGGAATTATTTCAAATTTGTTATTTGAAGTTCGTAATGGATACTACAGCCTATGACGGAAAATTGTCTGTGCCGGTCCACGTCTTCGTTTAGCCCCCATATAACGATACCTCCCGATAAACGGATTTTAGAGACATTATTCATCGGAATTGTTTCAAATTTGGTATATGAAGTTCGTAGTAGATACTACAGCCTAAGACAGAAAATTGCCTGTGCAGGTCCACGTCTTACCATATAACGGTATCTCCTGATATTCGGTACTTTGATGATTTTATCGACATTATTCACCGGAATTATTTCAAATTTGGTATTTGAAGTACGTAATGGATACTACAGCCTATGACAGAAAATTGTCCGTGCAGGTCCATGTCTTCGTAAAGACCTCATATAACGGCACCTCCCGATATTCGGTATATTTTTTCAAGTTTCGCATTTGAATATTGTAATAGCTAATGACTAAAGTTGTCTATGCAGGTATAGACCCTTATGACGCCTATATTCGGTATTTGTAAGATTTTAACAGAATTTTTAACGGATTTTATTTTTTTGAAAATTGCCAAATTCGTTCTAAATTGTGGAGGGTATTCAAAGTTTGGCCCGGCCGAAACTACAGCTTTTAACTGGTTTTTTTTTAAAGGACCAGAAAGACCCCTTTTTTCAATATTGCTAAAAACAATATATACCTAAAATGTAACGGTTCCATGGAATTCAATCGGTAATCTATCAATGATTTAATAATTGGTCCCTGAAATTTCATCACAAGTCTACAAAGAATTTAGAAATACTCTATAAATCTTTTGGGCTGTAATGTTAATGATGATGAAGAATAGGTCATTTATCCCTGTAGTACAACCAAGCAACCAAATAAAAAATTAATAAATTTATCCATTGTAAAAAATAATAGTTTTCCATATTCCATTCTCAAAATATCCTTTGTCTCATGATGACGACGATGATGGCCATCATATATCCATGACCGATGATAATTATTATCATGGCAATAAAATTCTTAAGAAAAACAAAAAATTAATTGTAATTTACATACGGGGTCATCTCTGGGGGTCCTCTCTCCCTCCCCTCACACTTACAGCAGCACATGGCCTGAAGTAATGTCCGGCCGGTCGACCGGTCATAAAATGCTCTCATCAGTCAGTCAGTTAGCCAACTGGACACGCTGTGTGAGTGTGTATCATTAAAAGTAATTAAATCAAATAACATGTCTTACAATTAGTCACTTTTCATTTTGGAGGCTATGTAAAAATATTTAAATACAATAGCAACAACAACAAGAGCAAAATAAAACAATATATGTTCTTGCAAGTGAACTAAATTCAACGGGAAATTTGTAGTCTGGTCTCTGTCACAAAACTCAACCCAGCTCGAGTTTACGAAAAAAAATAATACATCTTTGTGATGTGAGCTTTAACAGGCCGAATGTAGTTTTAACAGGTTTTCATTGAACAAAAAGTAATGGCAACGATCAAAACTCACGCACACACACAACAGCTACGAATTTTTGAATAATTCTTAAAAACAGAAATTAATAATAATAATTGTTATTTTTCATGGAGTGGTGGATTTTTTGTTATTTAAATTTCAATTGCAAGTAAACAAAAAAATAACTTTGTTTTTTTTTTCCTATTTTTTTGTTGATAAGTGGAAATTTTGTTTTCGTTTCGATCTCAGAGTACTGACAGGCAGGCTACTATCTGTCTGGCTTTGCTGGAAGTCTACAGAAATCGATTTTCTTGGTATCTCATCATCGTCGTTTCAATGTTGATGTGAATCAGTAATGTCCGCATTTATTGTATAAGGTATTCGATCTTCAGAATCCGCTGTCGTGCAATAATTTCCGCACAAACAAACGGAAATTATTGCATGATAGCATTACACAGAGAGTTCACGTTTCTTGGATTCCAATTTTTTTATTTCCCATAGACCCTAGGCAAAATTTATTAACATATCAACCAATCACCAAGCCATATGAAGCTATTCATATCATAGGGGGCAGCGAGAGGTCATCAAATAACAAATAAGAGCTCGTGTTCAAATTATTTTCTTAAAGCTCAAAGATTCGCGACAGCAAAGCTAGCTGTCTGCCTAAAAATAAATCTTTCAATTAGCAAGAAACTCACCCAAAACATAAGCACACCCCCAAATCTCAACCTCAATAGGTCAAGAATTGTAATTTTTGGAATTTTTTTTGGAGGAAAGTGTTTTTTGTTGTCATAGCATATCCATCAAGTGAAAGTTCTTCAGTTTCGTTTTCAGCACATTTCCTTGTGCGTTTCCCCAGTAGCAGATGATCTGGCTACGGTTCAGTCAACTCATTAATTATGATTACGTTTGAAAATTACTCTGATCTTGAAATACAATCAACAACGAGAGCTTTTGTTTTTGTACCAGAACGATTCTGATGGAAATCACGGAGGCTATATGTGGGGAAAATATCAACAACATGGAACGAGAGATTTATTTGTCAACAAAAATTTACAATTGGTCAAAATGACGAATTGGATAATGAACATTGATATTCGGTCAATGAACAACATGATCGTGTTTACTTGCCAAAGAGGACAGCTGAAAATGTGCACCTTCGGTTGGCCACCAGAACTCAAGTCCCGGCCATGGTGATGGTGTGGGTCGCCATAACAGCCGAAGGTCGCTCTCCGCTCGTATTAATCGACCGTGGCATCAGAATAAATGCCGAATATTATCGCGAAAATATTGTGGAGGGTGAATTAATTTTGGAAAGCAAGGTTGGCACAAAAAAAATATCAAAGTGTCGATCACCTCAAGCAAGCGCTTCGCCGGGAATGGGCCAAAATACCGCATAGCAACATTCGGGCAGTGTGTGACATACCCACAAAAGCCTCAAGGTGAATAGTAACATTTTGAAGGAAACCAGATATACTAATAGTTCCTTTTGGTGATCTCCATAGAATCATCTTCTGAGTACGATAGAGATCAAATGGTGAAAAGTTCATTTGTTTGGCCCAAGGACAAACCCTATTGCAATTGATGATAGTCGGTGGAAATTTAAATAAACTTAGTCCAATTAGGTTGAATATTGGATCATAAGATCATATTTCGTAGAAGATCTCTAATAGCATTTTATCATTTGATACGGCCAAAACGTGTCTAGTCGAAATAACAGTTTTAGACCCTAGGTCTCTTTGGACCAAATTCGTTTCAGGACATTTGGAGTCGATTTAGCGACGTCGGTTTGTCTGTCTGGGTGGCTGGTGCACACGATAACTCTCGAAGGGAGCATCCGATTGGGCCCAAACTTGGTACATCGTAATATTTTTTCTAAACTTATATCGAGTTCGGAGATGGGCAATATAGGAGTGGACCGGTACCTCCACTACAAAAGGTCGAATTTTTCAAAAAATGTATTTTCTGCATAGAAAGAGAAACGATAATCCGATTTTGCTTCAACTTTGCAAATCCTAATATCATAGTCAAAGAGGATTTATATGTTCCCCACAAAGGGTCAAAATGTTGAATAATTACAACTCCTATAAAATGTGATGTAAGAGTCCGATTGTCTTCAAATTTCACACATCCCAATAATTTTATTAACCCAGGGTCTGGTGCCAAGGTGGAATATATCGGTCTGCTCCTTCTGGTATCTCCCCACAAAAGGTCGACATTTTCAAAAAAAATATTTTTTGCACAGAAAGATAAGCTTTTATCCAATTTTGCTCCAACTTTGCAAATCCTACTATTCGCGTCATTTCAGGGACAGTTGCGAAAATGGACAATATCGGTCCTCTCCATCAAGTACATCCCCCACAAAGG